TTATTCGCTCCTTATTCACCTTTTGTCTAGTCAAGACTTTTTCGAAAACTGCATTTCGTGCGTAGTGATAATACAGATACTATCATATTTGTTATAGTCTCCGGTAGTGTTGTGAGCTTCAATAAGTCAAAGGGTTTTACAAGAATATCGGTTTCGAGAGAAGATTTATCATGAACAGGGTTGGGAATCGTGTACACATGACCCAGCTGAGCGTTGGATAACCACCACCTTAGGAAGCATAACTGGTGCTCAGAGGGGGGCTTAACAAGATTCGAGTAAGTTTCTTACTAGGAAATACAATCAATTTGCTTGCCCCGGTTATATTTTCATTAGTTTTCGAAATCAACAACATTAAAGTCATAACCTAAGCATAGCATAGAGTTTTTGTTAATGCCCATGGGGAATTTTTTAGTATATAAAATGACGTGTACACCCGTGAATATTGCGAAATGAACTGGTCGTACATGAACATCGTAAAATGGTGTGCGGGCACACATGAAAAGAAGTTCTCCCTTCTGAACGCTTTTGAAATTATAGAAAGTTAACACGTGACCATGCATTTGATGTTGCAACTGCACGACCACAATGTCGTGAAACTTTGACAAAATTTTTCCATGGGTGGTATTTCATGACGATATTTTCAAGGTCAGATCCTTGTTTGAGATTTAATATAGGTTGATAATTGATGAAATAGATATCAATCCTTTCGTGTTAATGCCAGCGACTAACGAGGGAACCTCCCCAGATTGCAAATCGATTTCGGGCTAAAACCTAGTGGATCAGAGGTAATCAAGGGTGCTGATTCCGAACATAATAATCATTTTGACCGATAGATCTTCAGAAATCGGAAAACCAGTTTTTCAAAACTCCTAAAAAAATAGCCAAAACCTTTGTTAATGAGGCAGGATTGTAGCCCGCAGATTTCTGATTAAAATGAGATCTCTCCGACCTCTACACGATCTTTCTTTGCAAAGTTATAGAGTTTGCAAGAAAAGTCCTAAATGTTCATAGTCAGCTCAAAGCTACAAAAATAAGAAGAAATTAATTTAAGACTTTTCGCGTAAATTCTACAACTTTGCAAAGAAAGACCGTGTGGAGCTGGGTAGGGTCTCATTTTAATCAGAAATCTGCGGGCTACAATCCTGCCTCATTAACAAAGGTTTTGGCTATTTTTTTAGGAGTTTTGAAAAACTGGTTTTCCAGAAATCCGATTTCTGAAGATCTATCGGTCAAAATGATTATTATGTTCGGAATCAGCACCCTTGATTACCTCTGATCCACTAGGTTTTAGCCCGAAATCGATTTGCAATCTGGGGAGGTTCCCTCGTAAATCAACGACAACTGATATTGCGATAAGTTTTCTTATCTTATATAATTTAAGAATATATTTTCTGTTAAAATATTACACTTTTAATCGAATTCATAAAACAACTGTTCTACTTATAAATAGTAAACTGCACTTTTGATAATTCATGTCAATACATTTATTACACAAAGAATTGATATAATTTTAAATTAAATAAAAATGATGTCCTTCCTTTATCTTCTGGATCAATTTTCAAGAACAAAATTTATTAGTAATCTACTCCAATCAACTAACATATGGTTTATATTTATAGCAATCTATCTCAGTTGTTAAATTTGTACACAAATGACCATATTTTAGAAACGTGTTTCATACAATACATTAAATATAGAACTTATCTCTCCAGGGAAATACCAAATAGATATAATTGTTAAACTATATTTGAAAAAACTTTTTAATTAAACACGCGGTAAAATTTTAAAAATCATTTTTCTTATGAAAGATATATATTCAAGTAAAAACGCTTCGATGCCATGTTATATTTTCATTATCAAAGTTTTTTTTCTAACACTTTATCGTCTAATGGTGTCTTTTTTCATATTAATAATATTCTCTTTTATTAAAGTCATTTGAAAACAAAAATTTTTTTTCATTCTCTGATAAATAAGAAATATGTATGACATGGTGTAATCTATTCAAGTGGAAAAAATAATAAGTTTCTCTAATTTGAAACAAAAAATAATTTTCTCATATTTAGAAGGAAACAAATAAGAGAATAATTATCATGGGAAACTATACCATGAAAATAACTTCAACCAACCTCTCATGAGCTAAAAGAAAAATTCTTTTTTTTGTTTTAGGATAAAATCAAATGTTTTTTTTTAACTGATGGAAAAAGTTTTTTTCTAATGTCAAAATCTATACGTTTGTCTTTTTAGAATGTCTATGTTGAACGAGATGCTTATACCAGTACGAAGAAACTAGACATTCTAAAAGAATATTATCTATGTATTTCATGTCTCTTGATACATCATTAAGTCGTCTGAGTAAAATGAAAGGAGACTTATTACTTTTTCATTAGACTCTTCCTTTTTTCTTTTAAATATATTTTCTCTTGTGAGTAAGCCATTCATTCTTCATTGTCTTTTATTAACCTGATTTAACGAAAATATCATTCAAAACTTCAACAGTTGTAGATGAACGATCTGAAGATATTTCTTTCATTGATATATATACTTTAATTTATCTACAATAAGATCTAACAGATGAGTATACTATAAAGAAGTTAATCAGTTTTTTCCATTAGATCAATAGTCATATGATACTTACTTAACAGTGTATATCCTGTACAGCGTATATGGTATCCAGTCTTTGAGATGATAGCCGCCTACCATTACACTGTATAATGTACAGTAGCATATAGTGATTAGAATGAGGAATCAGTTAATCGATGGTCGTCTGTAATCGTATCACGGTCGTTTTCTAGATTTTGTACAAAGGAGCAATGTAAAGGAGAAAATTTATGCGCAATTATACAACGAAGAATGAGACAGATTTTTGAAATTCGTGTTTCGTCTAGCTAAAAGTTTTCTAGAATCTTTCTGATCTGTCCACAGCATGACCCAATTCTTTTTTAACCAATAGAGACCTAGCCTAATGGCTTGAAATTCTGGTTGTGTCGCTACATAGTTCCTCTCCAACTCAGTAAAATCATTTGTTGTATTATTATACATTTGAAACTAGGAAAAACTTTTTTATTCTAATTAACCACTTAAGTAGTAAAAGTGAAGAACATAAAATATAGTTTTTCTACAGTTCAGTTAAAACTCTTTAAATGGATACACAGAACCTGTTTATTGTCCTATGAACAGGATAAAACTGATAGTAGCCAAAATAGAGTTCACCAATATTTTATGTATAAAATGATCTATAATTTTTTGTAATTGACACGGTAAGTAGACATGTGGGCTATGTAAAATTTTAAAAGTAGTTTTGAAGAGTAAAACGGAAAATATATATCACTTAAGAGCGTTTACATCTACGCCGTTAAATTTTGACATAAAAATCTCAGTTAAACGTATGACAAACCAGCATCTGTTTAGACAGTCGGAAAAAAATATTAAACAATGTGAAAGATAGAAAAAGAACAAAGTAAAAACGTAGAATATTTTAAGTGAGCTCATCTGGTTGTTACTATTTATTTCAAAATATAAAGACTACGGATGTTTTTGAATAACTTGAGAACGAAATGAGCTGGAGAGCTGCGATTTTCAGATTATAAATAGAGGACACCCAGGGGCATGATTCTATGCTAAAATAAGTCTTGCCAGACAGGCCTATCACGGTACACCTGTTCGAAGCAAAAAATCTGAACCGATCATTACAAAAATCTACATAGCGAGATATTGCCCTAAATATATGTGGGTATAGAGCAGATGTCATTCTACAATCGGGCGCAAGTCCCACATCTCCATCTACCATGGTTCGGGTGCTACAGGCTATCTCCGAGGACCTATCTATAAGTCGAATCTGACCTCCGGAAACCTCAGAAACACATGGTACATAGGCTATCGGACACGCTTATTACTGTGGCAGTGTTTGCTTTATTGTACGGATTAGGAAAACTGCAATGAAGGCAAGTTCATTAAATGAAGGCGCTGCGCTATAAGGTTTTTATTTTAGTATGGTCACAGTGGAAATATCGTATTTTCTGAAAAATTCGTTTTTTGCAGTTTTCCTAATCTGGACAATAAAACAAACATTGCCACAGTAATCAGCGTGTCCGATAGCCTATGTTGTTTTAAGGTTTCTAGAGGTCAGATTTCATTCTCGAGTTATTCAAAAAACGTCAGTGGTCTTCATATTTTGAGATGAATAGTAGTTAATGTGAATCATTTATGTATAACAAGCCTTACTCCTCTATAAATTCTCGAGTAACAACAGATTTTATCAATATCTAATTTCTGCTATCAGACAGGGATACTTCTTCCCACATTTGAGACTTTACGCAGAACTTTTGCCAAATAAATAATAAAATAAAGTTTATAAAGGCAGAATATTTTGTGCACAGAGAGACAAATATTATTTGATCAAACAGATGGAAAACTTTTTTAGCAGACGGGTAGAAAAAGTGAGGATCTCATTTTTTTAATCTCGGCCATATCTTGATCAGACCTGTTTCGAACGAAACAGAATTATCAGCACTCACCCTTGCCTACTCGAGAACATTTTCAAGATGTCTTTATCTTGCTTTTCTTTTTCGAGCTATAAGTAATAGTAGTAGTAGTAGTAGTAGTAGTAATACCTGCTACCTTTCGGTTTAGGGTGAGGCAGGCAAACGAGTTATAAGATTGCTACAACAAGTTAAAAAGCTCAATTTTCGATTGGATTTTTAGAAGAAAAGGTGATAAAAAGAAAAAAACACCTTTAGTTGTTCTGGTAATGTAAATTTTCACTCCAGTCAGATGACTTTCACTATAACATGTAATATATAATACTGGAAAAAATAGTTATCTAAACAGTTCCTCAACACTTACAGATTTGAAATAGAAAAAGCTGCTTCACTGAGTTTCCTATCATTTAAGAATATCCTGTCTTTATAAACTTTATTTTATTATTTATTTGGCAAAATTTTTGCGTAAAGGTTGAGTTTTCTTGATCATATTTTTATGTTTTCATTTATTTGATTTCAGTTATGGATGATGATAAAAAATCTATTGTTATTGGCCTCGGTGCTGGTCTTGGAGGCTTTTTTGGTTTTTTCATTTTAGTATGCATTTGTTGGCATATTTTTTGTGGAAGGTTGGTATTCTGACAAGAAAATGTTACTAACTAATCATATTTTTCTTTTTACTTTAGTTGGTGTGATAAAAAACCGTCACAACCGGCTATACAAGAGTTACAACGACGAAATATTCAAAAGAAAAAAATTCATCCTGAACCACGATCAACACAAACATCAAATACAACAGACAGTGTTAGAGGGGCATCAAAATTTGTTAGCGAAATTTAGCTTATTTTTCTCGTTCGTTACGTACATGACTGTTATGCTTTGTTATGTTTCCAATTTTCCCGTAAACAAATACGTATGTGTTTTTTGTGTCATAGGAAAGGTTTTTATTCTATTATACATCGTTAAACTTGATCTAGTATATTAATTTCGTTTCTCTGTTATGGCATATTGTACAGTATTCGTAAAAAATTACAAATGTTAAGCATGAAAGTTTGAACATTTAAGAATACTTATTGAGATTTTAAAACGTGCTTTTTATAAATTGCATCTGAATCTAGGTCGAATGAGTGTGGAAAAATGAAGTTTAATTGCAGCAAAAACTATATTTAACTCTGATTGTTTATGGTAATTTGCTACGTCACAGTAGTAAGTACATTATTCAAAACAATAACTGAACAGTACTTCATAAAATGTAAGAAAAAAGTATAAATAAAATTATTTCTTGAAAATTTTGCCTGTTAAGAGACATAGCAGACAGTCCGTTGTCACGCCTTTTGGCTCGGTTGGGTCATATGTACCGTTTTGGCAAGAAATTTTTCTTGAACAGGCAATATTGTCTGATCATGCAAGGAGTACCTTGCCCCTTTCGGCCAGGTTTCCACATTCTTTTCGCACAATGTATCAGCGCACAAATGAAAGCAATGACGCATAAAGAGATTTATTCCATTTGTTCCGTTTGCTGTAAGACTTGCAGACCTTGAGACGTAAGGTATCTCAGAATGAGCTGAGTTTTTGTGTGTAAAAACTAGAGGCTGTTCTCATTCCAAATATGACCTTATTTTTTCGATTTGACTCATACTCACGGAGTTACTAGGGCCGGAACATACCAAAACTGACGAGTTATGATGCTCCATGAAAAGTATCAAGAATATATTCTCAAGTGTGTAGAATATAGTTTTCATCGACCTGAGCATTTTTCACTATGGTTTTTGATAGTCTAAGACCTTTCCCTGCGTCAAGAAAACTGGGTACAACGTATGTCTTACTTAGGTTGATTGTTGACCTAAGGCATCTGAGGACTTGTTAGCGAGTGAAGTATAGCTTATAATAAACTATTGTACACGGATCAGTGAGTGGTGCGACATGTGATTGTAAATTTCAATGTACAACGGAACAGTGTCCTTGCAAAAAAGCTAATGTTAAGTGTTCTACAAAATGTCATTCAAAACGAACTGGTAGTTGTAAAAATATAGAATAAAGAGATAGAGAGTTGATGAAAAAATTTTAAGTAACGAAATATTTCTACTTAGAGAAGCGAAGATGCTATATTGGAGAAAGGTCATGTTTTGTACATAGAAAAAATTCTTCTTACATTAAAAAGAACTTGAATTATAATTGTATATAATATAATTTGCATGCTTGTTCTTTACTAATGCACTACTAATCCAGGAGCTGAACATAAAAACCTAAAAACCAAAAGTAAGTCCCTAGAACTCATTATATGTAGAACAGTGTTTATTTATGATTCTTACCTCGGTAAACCTGTTCCATTAACATTGGGTTATAGGAAAAATCACCGTCAAGGTCAGAAACTCGATATATAATAATAATAATAGTTCCAAATTTCGATTTTGATCCGGCCAAAACTAAAATCACCTTTTCAGTCAGATTCTGAATTTGGCCAGCCGGAGTTAGATTTCCAGTTTTGGCCGGCCAAGTTCGGAATCTGGCCGAATTCTAAGTTTGACTACAACGGATATATAACATAGTTCTTATGACAAAACTGAGAATATATTACTTCCTTCCACCTTCCACATCAACTGAGCATAAATAAAGCGTATGGCATTAGAAACGTGATTACACAACGTATTCTATTTGAAATAGAAATCGATACGCGTTTACCAACAAAACCATTTGCTGACGTAAAACAGTTGAGTTATTTCCAGGAAGAACATGAAATACTAATAATGTGTGGCGCAGTTTTCAAAATGATTGGCATCACGTATGATAAAAATAACCAAATCTGACTTGGCAAATATTGCTTTAGCAAGCGAAGATGATTATCAGTTAAAAGAAATATTTTCATACTATAAACAGCAAACAGGTGAACGAATAAGTTTGTTGTCGATGATAAAAATATTCAGTTTAAACTCGGATTACGATCGAGCAGAAAGTATTGTCATATATTATTGAAAGAGTTACAAATGAGTATAGCAACTTGTTATTTAGAACTTGGCAACATTCTGTCTAATCAAAATTTAGATCGCAACTGACAAAGCAGGCTAGGTGGATTTGAAACTCAACTGGATCAATTATGCATTTCAAAACGAACTAGTTGTGTCTTAAACTGAACTAGACAGCATTAAATTGCATGAACCTAGGTTTCTAAGCACTTCGAACAAGGTGAAACTGAGACTGTGAAGACAGTACGAAGCAATGCCTGACGCATGCACACATGTCCGCACACCATAGAAGGTATACTATAGTCAGAGCTCAGTCATATCGTGTACTGTCTTACCATGAAAACTTTCTATGCTAAACTCGATTCCTACATAACTTCTCTCGATAAAATACGTAAACCATTAGTCTTATACTTAAGTATGATATTAGTTAATTTTACTGAACGGCACTGCATTTTAATGCAGTCTTGTTCAGTTTAAGACACAACTAGTTCGTTTTGAAATGCATAATTGATTCAGTTGAGTTTCAAATCCACCTAGTCTGCTTTGTCAGTTGAGATCTAAATTTTGCTTAGATCTAGGCGAAATCAAAATTCTAAAATGTACTATTATCCATTTCAAAAAAGAAAGACCATGGCCATTTGTTTAATAACTTTTTCTAGGATGTAGCTACGGAGCTGCGGTTTTCACTAGTCGAAAGAAAATGTTGGGGCAATAAGAAAAACCAAAATTATTGTCCCGAAATCAC